TAATTTATATTTATTTCCTAGTTTTTTTATGGTGGTTACAAGATTGGTAAAATCTGTCGAAATCATACAGAGATTAATTACTGAAAATAGATAAAAATTAAAGGTTTTTTTAAGAAATGTTTGATAACTATTTGGACATTATAAAGATTTAGCATATGAAATTTGAAAGTTTTCTGGTACAGAAAAGTATTTTTAATCTTAAAATGAAAATTACTTTTCATGTTGGATAGGTAACATGTGAAAAGAAAAAAAAAAGGCATGAGAAAAACATTGCTTAACAAACCTTAAGACTGATATTTTGCCGATGAAAGCATTGTAATGTTTACTGATAATCTGCCAGATTTCATTAACATAAGCTTACTAATTTAAAGGTTATATCATGAAAACGATAACAAGGACAAAATGGCGACCGAGCCCATGCTGAAAGAGTTAGTATGTAATTTTGAGTCAAAGCTTACATATACTTCACAGTGTATTTCCATTTTGAAAATACTGTGTTCCTTACTGAAGTGAAAAAGTATTTATGGTTTTCCCAGAATGTAAAGAACTGAAAGCTTGTTAAAAATTATACTGGTGCCAAAGAGTGTAAGCAAAAAAGAAGGTTCAGCAGTATTCAGATGTGGTTTTATCGATATTCATAAAACAAAAATTTGATTTGGCATATAATGTAACATAAAAACACTGTGAATTCTTACAGGAGATTCTTTTATCAGTAGAATATGTTTCAAGATGGAAGAAATTCAGAAGAGGGATGAACAGTAGTGACAGAAAGGTGTTTTAGTTTTGCAATATATTGTTCCTATTTAACTCTTTCAGCATGGGCTCAGTCACTGGGACTGAACTTTTGTGCTTGTTATAGTTTTCATGCTATAACTTTTACATTAGTAAGTGTATGTTAATGAAATTTGGTAGATTATCAGTAAACATTACAATGCTTTCATATGCAAAATATAAATTTTTTTTTTATTAAGTCTTAAGGTTTGTTAAGCAATGTTTTTCTTATGCTTTTTTTTTTTGCATGTTGCCTATCCAACATGCAAAGTAATTTTCATTTTAAGATTAAAAATACTTTTATGCACCAGAAAATTTTCAAGTTTCACATGCAAAATATTTATAATGTCCAGATAGCTATCAAATGTTTCTTTAGAAAAAGCTATATTTTATCTGTAATTTTTGCTAACAAATCTTTGTACAGATTTGGTAGATTTGACCGATCTCGTAACCACCATAAAAAATTAAGATAAATTATGCCCTTTTCAATTCTAGAATGACTACAAAGTATATTATGAAAATATAAATGTTTAGACTAAATAGCTTAGATCTCATAACATTATACATTTATATATATTTATTATTTTTATTATATTGACCTTTCAGCCATGCCTGGCCAACAATACAGAAGTTACAATGCACTTATGTTATCATATCCAATATTATAAAACTGACATTTAGTCTCTACAAAATGATCTGTGTTGGCTGTGTTTTAGTGTACTAGTGTTTTGTAAAATACAGATACATTTCAATTATTATATATTATATACAAATATAGATTACCATTTACAAATAACTACTTAAACTTATTTTTCTTAAAAATAGAACAATAAATAAAGAAGTAAAACAAACAATTATCTCTTCTAGTTACGACCTTTGTACTCAATTTCTGCTTGTTGTAGGTTGCTAAGCCTTTTAAAATTTTGCATGTGGAAGATATGAAACAAAATAAATTTGTATAGGTTTTATATATACAGTTGAATAACCAAAAAAACATAAATTACTATACCAATACCAAAAAATTCCACTATGATTTATCAAGCATAGTAACTAAGCTGTATTTGGGTTTAAAAATATGAAAATTCGAGCAGAATAAAGACAAAACCTACCTTCTTGAAAACTTGGTTTGAAAGAATGAGATGGCATCCTAATACATGAAAATGATTGAGAAAGACACTAGGGGGACATTCTGAGCTTTCTGTTGGTTATTCACATGTCATATATATTGAAGTAAGTGTATTTTAGGGACTGTTTCCAAAAATGGAAAGAGGTTAGTGGGGCCACTGTGTTTGATTCATTACATGAGTGACATACTAAAACTGATGTTTAGGTGTATTTTTTTAATATTTACTTTCAAATTAAGAAATTAAATAATGTATAATACTAAAATTTGAATTATAATCTACAGTTTGATACCAAACTTATTGAAATAAATTCATGAAATAGTAGTTCAATAAAATTTTGAACGTGAGTCAAGAAACGCAATGACATAGGCTTTGACTTGAGACCTGTCTGGAGAGGGTTAAAACCTATTAGATGAATTTTTTTTTTCTGTCAGAACAAGTACTGAAATCTTACTCTTCATAGTGAGCACTGCATTTCCAAACATTTCGATTTTAATTCTCTCTCACTACAGGCTTGGTCCCTGGGACCGACGTCGTAATAATTTTGTGCTTGTTATTGTTTTCCTTTATAACTTTTATTACAGTATGCAAATCTTCATGAAAATTTTCAGGTTATCAGTAAACATTACAAGGCTTTTGTAAACAAAATATCAGTTTTTTTTTATTAAGTTTAAGATTTTTTAAGTAATGATTTGCTTATGTATTTTTTCTTTTCAAATGTTGACTATCCAACATGCAAAGTAATTTTAAGATTAAAAATACTTTTATGCATCACAAAATTTTAAAATTTCACATGCAAAATGTTTATAATCTCTAGATCATTATCAAACATTTTTTAAGAAAAAGCTATTTTATCTGTAATTTTCACTACTAAATCTCTGTATGGGTTCAGTCGATTTGACCGACCTTGTAACCACCATAAAAAGTAGGAAATAATTATAAACTATGCTTTTTTGTTCTAGAATGACTACAAATTATAGCACAAATTTTTAGTCTGAATAGCTTAGATCTCAAAATTATACATTATAGGTATATTTATTATTTTAATTTTATTGACCTTTCAGCCGTGTCTGATTAACGTTACAGAAGGTGCAATGATGTGGCGCACATGCATTCAGGTTAATGTATACAATAGTATAAAATTGGCCTTTACAAAGTGTCCTGTCTTGGCTTTGTTCTAATAGATCAGTATTTTGTAAAATACAGTCACATCTCAGTTATATTACATTACATATGTGAATATATTATTACTATTTACAAATAAGTTCTTAAATTTCATATATTTTTCATAAAACAGAACAGTAAAGAAAGAAATATAGAAAACAATGATCTCTACTACTTATGATTATAAAGATGTTTGTACTTGCTTGCTGTACCTTGCCAAATTTTGAATGTGCAGAATGTAAAACAAAATAACTTTTCTAGGTTTTATATATGCATTTTGACATAAAAAATT